CTGTCCGTCTGTCCGTCTGTCCGTCTGTCCGTCTGTCCGTCTGTCCGTCTGTCCGTCTGTCCGTCTTCTGTCTGTCCGTCTGTCCTTTCGTCCGTTCATCCGTTTGTCTATCCTAGAGCCTAAACCATGCGTAGAATTGTTTCGAAATTAAAGAATCCCCAGTCCATTTGGCTGTAGTCCAAGATTTGAAATTTTGAAAATTATTCTATAAAATTCAGGGGTACTTTACATGAAGCTCTGCAGACGTTTTCAAAATTTTCTCAAAAAAAGTCTTCAAATGTTTTCTTTAAATTTCTTGTTAGAATAGAGTAACATAAACTTACCAGTGGCGTAGATTCGATTTTCACGGTTAACTCTGAATGCTCGAAAATTTCAAAAGTATGGTTTTTTGGTGTCTTCCTACAACTTCAATGTTAAAGAGAGAGAATTTTCCCTCAAATGAATTTTGTTGCCCCTAAGTAGTTGTATCATTAAGGTCATGTACATTTTTTGAAAATTTTAGTAGTTTTCGTGCAATATTGCGTGCAATTTTTGCTATTTTTAATCATACCACACATTATGTGAAATACAGTAGAGAGGATAATGATAAGGAAGAATGAAACTGGATATTAAATACCTGAATATTTTTATCTATGAGGATATTGAAAACAAAACATAAATTCATATAATTTTTTGTTTTGATCAGTCACGGCTCGTGTATGAATACAATTTCGTGATTAAAAATATGTTTGGGATATCCCACAGCAAACGGTAATATTAGCTGAAGAATGTAGACAAACTAAAGCCTTTTCACTTCCCTTAATATTTATTCTAGTTGTATGTTGGGTAAGTCTGTTTGTCCATGCTCGCCGCTCTTCTTCGAGTGCGACCGTGCTGCCATCGATTCTAGTAGCAACAGTCAACCGTGGCGCGTCCTAGGTTCAGAATTAAGTACGCTGTTTTATGACAGCAGTGATACCAAACGTGGTGCTTTTCTGCTGTACGGTATGAATCGAAAGTTACGCGCTCGTTGGTGACGAGGAATCCCGCAATTGGGCGGAGTGCTAGTTTAGCTCTAAAGTTGTTTGTCTCGAACCTTTCCCATTTTATGAATGCGTATTTTCTACCCTTTCTTTATATCTAAAACTAGTCCTATTAGACTCCGATACACAGGAACCGTTTCTGATAAGCTTTTCACGTCCTTAGTGCTTCACAATATCATAAAAAATCAGGAAGAAATATAAATTTTAAAGTGCATCACTATTTCAATACAATATTCAAAGCGCAAGACAACTACATGCAGTTGCAAGAAGGCCAAGGCTCTCGTTTCCGTTTTAACAATAGAGAAATAATGTTTTGATTACTAAACAAAATATTTGAATTATTCCTTTGACGACAAAATAAGTCGGATTATTTTCCCCAGTATGGAGCACTTTACGTCTTTGGCGCTTTACACTTGGTTGCTCACACATTCTAAATTAAGTTTGCAAAGAAACAGGCTTTAAATTTAAAAAAAATTGTAAATTAATAAATTTACCACAACCTAAAAACCAAAATGAAGAAAAGTGAACAAATTACTTTTAACTTTGATTGACTATAAATCTCAAAAACGAAACACAATTAAACACAGGCGTACAAGCACAGTTAAACAACTGGAATTCGAACTTTCTGAGCACAGTATATGGCAATCGAAGCTCGTGGCACCGCAGCTATGTCTGATCCCACAACCGAACATATCCCTTCCTACAAAAATTAATAAATTCTAAATATATTCACCACGATTTATGGTACATGTACAATGTATTCGAAAAATTATTTTACTAATGTAATTATTGTTATAAAAAATTATGTTAATGAGTATTTAAAACAGTTTTGAAATCTTAATAACGGGGAGGATGTTTATTTACCGGAAAAGCCTATAAGGCCCTGTACTTCATTCTTAGCCTCGGACGCGCTATAGGTGCATACCACAGATAAGGATTTCCTATGTTATACTCCGATTTAAACACATTGTCATCCAATCGGAAGCATCGTTGAAATTTTGGTAATGAAGCTCCCGATTGGATGACAATGACCCCGCTCTCCTTCCAGCTCGTGACCTTGAGGTTTGTTTAAATCGCAGGATAGTGCTTCGTAACGTAAGGCATGAGTCATTCTCAACACACTTGCGCAACGAAAAAGGATCTCATTGCCGAATTGCTCTTGCCCACCGTAAAAGACTGCTCAAATAAGTAAATTGGCATTTGCGGTCTAGTGTAGAGCTTAAAATGATTGTACCAATAAAGTTGTTTATTATGCTGTGGTGAATGTTTTTGTGTAAAACCATATGTACCCCGATTTATAGGATGTGTGTGTGTGTTTTCTCGTTAACCTCTACACGAGCCATCATTGTAATTGCCAAGACAAGAAAAATTAATATGAGAAGAGTAGAGTTCTAGGCCGAACTACAATGAAATGTAGAATAAGTTCTACTTAAATAAAATTATTTCCTGTTATTCTTATTTTGTAATTATTGTTTTATTTTCTCAAATTTTACATTGGTGATTTTGTACAAATTAATTAGAAAATACAAGAATTCATACAATTTTACAAACATTTACAGATATATACACCAGATATCACACACAAAAGAATATTATTATTATTATTATTATTATTATTATTATTATTATTATTATTATTATTATTATTATTATTTCTATTATTATTATTACTATTATTAAGATAATGATTATGATTATTAAATTGTTTTGTTTAGTGTGGATACCAGGATTTCCAGAAAGGAAGAGGATATCCTGATGAGCCCAGAAAGCACAGAGATGAGTCGTTAATGTCAGAAGAATTCGATCTTACTTCAGATGTACCTTTAAGAGCAATAACTGCTAGTAAACGATATCAGGCTAAAGTTCGGAATGTGCTGGATGCATCATTGGCTAATACCCAATTAGGTGATTATCTTTCTATGGTTTTGTGAAGGTTTGGGATCCATATTTTTTGGCATTCGAATCATTTATTTCATCGTGCAACGGCTTAGGGGATTGTTGTCCCTAACTGTCCCTTGCAGTAAGATTTAATTTTGAAATTATATAAAACAAAATTTAAAATTGCTTTTTAGATGTCGAATGATGAAAAATTGTTCTTCTGTCTTACTAGTGCTCAAAACCTTCCCCTTGCCCCCTTTCTTGTCTTAACTTCCACTGACTCTCAGAACGCATTTCAACCGCTCTCACCAACGTAATGAAATTGCTTTTGTTTGTCTACTGACCGTTAGCTGTAGAATAATGTTAATGTAAATCTATCTGTTTTGTAAGCTTTCATGTGTCTGGTAAGTTCTTTCCTTTCATAATTTCTCAATTTTAATGTTGTATTGTGAATAATTATAAATTTTGTACTATATAATTTCAAAATTCAATTGTGCAGCCTAATGATGAGGACAACAATCCCCGAAGCCGTTGCACGATTATGAAATAAAATAATGTTACAAGAATTCGTCTGACCAAAAGTATACACCTAAAACCTTCACATATTCATAATTAATTAAGACAGACTAAAAGGTGGAAATAAGAAATGATTAACTTTTTGCTTAATATTAGTGTTTTGCCACCTCGGAGGTGGTTATATCGTACGTATGCAGAAATGCTACTCAACTCGAGACCATCACGCGGATACACACATCGAAAAGTTACCATTACAAATTTTGGAGACTAGATTTTACGGACTGATTTATTTTTATCTTTTTTATTCCTACATATTTTGAAATAAATTCCACCCACTAAATATGGTGGGATAGAAATCGAAAAGGCTTCAAAGATAACAAAAATGAAGGAAAATTATTAATTTTTGAATACTTATTTGAGTTCAAAATTATAAACAATGTTTAATATTATAAGCCATTTATTCACTGAAGACTAAGTTGTTAATTCAAGAAAGGGAATGCACTAATCAAAATATAGTGTCCATATATCCTATCCTGCCGCATGACACAAGCGTGGCATAATGGTTTTGACAGGTTGGTAGAAAGGAGGTAGTACTCGTACTACATTTTAGATGGAATTCATTCCTTATCCCGTTCAAAGGGACATACTTCAGATTATATTTTACAAACTCCAAATACATTGCTTCAAAAAGTTTCATTTTGTGAATGACTTAAAATCCTTAAAACATGTCAAATCATTGATCACACCAGTAAATTAAAAAAAAAGGAATAGAATCGTTAGGTTTTATTTAACTTTTGTACTCTTTGAAATTTGAAGTAAAAGAATTACGAATTTTTCTGTTTTAATTTTTCAGGAAGCTTAGTTCAAAAACTGAAAGTTACTACAATCCGTACACCTGAAGAAACAGAGGGTCGTCACGCTCAAACCGCCAGAAAAAAGAGGATGAAGAAACCTGACCTTATCAGTCAATACGAATTGATTCGACGTGCATATTCAGATAAATGTTTGATGTATTTGGTTTTTGCTGTAACACCTGATTCCGTGTATTACACTCCGTATTCCCTTAAGTAAGGAAAATAATTTTCCGTAAATTATTATTTTACCGCTCTTAATTTTCAATTACAAACGTTTTGCTACTCCTCGATTTTGTCACCTGTTGTTGCCAGCTTGATTATTTAGTCCAAAGTTAGTACATATCTCAATATCTTATTAATTTTGTATTATTATTATTATTATTATTATTATTATTATTATTATTATTATTATTATTATTATTAT